ACAAGATAGATGAGCATCAACTTTTCTACATCTTGATTATGAAGAAAACGGTAACTAGTCCCCAGATATTTAAGCTAACTGAAAAAAGGAGTCTTTGTTGTTTCTGCTTTAACTGTAAGATGGTAGGTCCTTTATAAAAACTGATTCGATATGTTTGAGGCTTTGTTGAATTAATCGTTACAGCAACTTTTGAACTGAGGGTCTAGTGCTTGGCACTTTCGTCTTACGAGGGAATCTTCCCAAATGTACTCTCGTTTTCTTTAACGAAATGTAGCAGGTTGTAAGTAATCGATCATGCTGATTCGAATATGATATTCATTTGGATTCATAGGCCTTTCCTAGCTGGTTTCGGGAAAACCAGTTTCCAACGATGAGACAGACAGTCTAAATTTCACTATTGTATAAGCAGTTTTTCAGTTTCAAAAACTCGATGAGTGAAGTGTCAGCAAAGAGATGATCAATTTTGATCTTGTTGCTCATATGTGCACTGCAAACGATTTTTTTTCATAGAAAATGAAATTTTTTGCAGTCTTTATAGTTTTGAAAGTCTATATATTTTTTAATCAAAAAATTTGGATGTTTGTATTTTGTTCGCATTTAAACGTCATTTTCTCGCATGTTTTTCTCAGAAACTAGACGCTCCAGAGCAAAAGTTGTAAAGGAATTAGATAGAGAACACACTGAATGTGAAAATGCTCCCTTGTCGGTTTTGTACGAGATTTGCTCTTCTCTGTACAACGCCCTAAAGTAGGTCGATCGAGAACTTGGGACTGTTTTTGTCCAGCACAATGAGAAAATTAATTTCTTATGAGTTATAGTTCTTCTTTCAAAAAGAAGAGTGATACCAGCAAGACTACTGTGGTCGTTAATTAAAATGAGCTGTTGCGTTAGACTAGGTTGCGTTAGATATCAGTTTGAAAGCTTTGTGATGACATTTATTTTAGTGAGCAATCATTTTGAAACAGTATTTCATCCCAGATTCAAACTGGAAAAGACCTTAAATACTTCATGGATTTTTATGATTAGAGCGTTTATTCAAAACGATGGTTCTTCAGACAGGTCTACACGATAACTTTAAGCATTTGTGGAAAGCCTATTTTCGATATTAACTTAAGTGTAAACTGCGATTAAAGCCCTAACCTATCTAAAATAATTCGTATTTTTTGAATGAAAACTTGTCTCGAAAGTGGTTTCCCTTCTGGAGTGAGAAAAAGAGGTGAATTTAATTCGTTTTGGCGTAGAATTCGAACAGAAAGAAAACGTTTCATAATCGAAAGCGGACAGAGATGATGATCGGTAGGGAAAAAAATGAATGTTGACTCCATGCTAAAATGGATCTGTTTTTGACTTTTTGAGAAACAGAGATATAAATTTTTTGTCTATTTTAATATCTTCCACGCAAACGTGGCCGTATGGATCGACGATAGAATTGACGGCAAATTCGCTAATTCAACTGACTTTTAAGTCAATCGTTCGAATTACATCCGGCAATTGTAATTCCATTTTAACACTATCTGAGATTATTCTCAGATATTCGATCGTTGTCAATGGTCCAAATGTTTTTTGAACCGATAGAGGAATATTGAGCCTACGAAACAGCAATTTAAGCAAAATCATATTACGATCGGGTAGTTTGTTTGGACTTTCAACTGTAATGAAATCATCTAAAAGATGCAATATATGAGTAATCTGATAGTTTTGTACGGCTATCCAACATATCAAGCCTGCTAAATTGTCTAATATGCGTGGAGACGATCGACATCCGAAAACTGACCTTTTGTAGAAATAGTACAACCCCTTCCATTTGATTCCTTGAAACGGTCAGATAGTCGGATGTACTGGAATAATCTTAAATGCATCTGAAACATTAGTCTTGCACATCGACGTTACCATTCCTAACTGAATTAGTAACTTTTGTGCATCATTAATTTTTAACATATTTTAATGAGAAATCCTGTTTTGAAATTAAATCATTCAAACTAGGATATTGCACCGAATCGTGAGGTGAAGACAGATTAATAACCCAAAAAATTGGGTCGTATTTGCTTGGGTAGTTTAACCTACCTTTTGTCCACGTTCAAGCATCCACTTTTCGCCGCACGTTTTGTCATATTCAAGAAAATGAATAGTAGCCTTTGGATCGAAATATTCACTCCACACGGTCGCTGACACACCTACCTCTCATGACATACCACAACCGAGCCCGATTTCGAGCAATTTAACATTAGTACCACGGTACGCTCTAAAATAACGTTCATAAAAACGCGTATAATGACGAACATGACTTTGCCGGTGCGATATTTTTTGTCCAGCTGCACGAGTGACATAAGAGTTGACGACTTCACTTCGTTGGTATTGGTGATGCGCGGTGACGGCGATGACAAAGCCGATGATATAAACATATGTTGGGCAAAAAAAAGGGTGACCAGTACGATAAGTACGATGATGAAGCGGCTGTTCCCAAGCTCTTTCGAAGCAATCATCTTTGATTTTGTGTCGGAGACAAAAGAGAGCTCGTAACAAATGCAAGAAGAGATATGGCATACCAGTTGGTGATCCTGTAATTTAACTACAGTAGTTGGCACTTTAATACGTGTCTGTCGGATGATAAAATACTTAAATTACCTTCGAGCCCGTTTTCCTTTGAGCTGTATACAACTAATCGAAAGAGCAAGCCTATCCACCGAAATCTCTCGTCTTCTGAAACCTGTCTTGTTTTTCAATTTGATTTGATCGAATGGAAAGGAATCTGCCCTTCTAGAAAGACATTTCATGTTACATCATCAGCGGCTTCTCTGTTACTTACAAATATCTCCTGCAATAATTTCGACGTACCTTTTCTTTTAAGCAACCCCGCGTTAACGACGTGTTTTGTTTTCGTTCGCTTTCTGTCATTTTTCTGATCAATCTTGATTCATACGAAGTTTTAAGTTTCCTCTTATATTCTCTTTCGGTTACATGGTGAGAAAGATTTTGTTTTTTGAAGACTTTTTTAATGCTCCGAGGTCTACTAGTTTTTTTGCTGAAGACCTAGAGACTTCATTCTTGTGCCAAAAGAACCGCCTTTCGTCGCGCAACAAAGTTATAGCCTTTGATTTTTTTAAAAGTGTTTTGGTGAAAAAATGTTTTGAATCTGAGGCGAAAAAGTCGTGATTCTGCTCCCAATTCTCAGTTTTCTTCATCAAGATTCAACTTCTATATAATAAAAATATCATATTCAGAATCAATATCGAAAACTGAATCGACTGATGTCTATCTCTGTCCTATCCGAATAGTTTGATTTTTTTCGAATTTTCATGTTAAAAATCATTGAGATTTTCGCCAAAAAATGAAAATGAATTAAAAATTTTGAAATACACATTAGTCGATTCAGTTTTCGATCTTGATTCTGAATATGATATTTTTATTGCATAAAAGTTGAATCTTGATGGCGAAAATTGAGAATTAGGAGCAGAATCACGACTTTTTCGCCTCAGATTCAAAACATTTTTCACCAAAACACTTTTAAAAAAATCAAAGGCTATAACTTTGTTGCGCGCCGAAAGGCGCTTCTTTTGGCGCAAGAATGAAGTCTCTAGGTTTTCAGCAAAAAAACTAGTAGACTGTGCCATTTTCGGTCGTTCAAACGAAGAGTTTAGGCCGCTTGGGTTTGTGTAGGGAGGACGTAATATGCAAAGAATCAGCAGCTTATGACGAATCCGAATATGTGTGTTTAAATCAAAAGTAAAAAGGGCTCGAATTTTGAATTACCCACGCCTCACGTAAACCAAGTGACTTCTTATAGGCGGATGGACCATGATAAGCACAATTGCTTCTAAGTGCATTATATATATTCGGATTCAGCTCAACTACCTGATCACGAATAATACCTTCCGAGTCTCCAAAAATCATTTCTTCATGGAGAAAACCTCAAATTACTGAGAAATACAAAAACCCGTCCTCTATAATTTATTTTGTATTAATAGGTAACAGGTAATGCCTTTTCAAAAACCAAGTATTTTTCATTGATTTTTTGTTTTGTTGAACTCGATCGTGTAATGCAGACAAAATAGAGTATATCTTAAAGAATAAATATTGTTATGAGGTCCAACACAATTGATAACTTATGTTTCTATCCACCTTTGAATTTGTCAAAAGTCTTCGAAAACTGATTCTGAGGGTCTTAGGAAATCCGTTATCACGTCTAAACGATGAAAGATAAAGACGCTGAATGATTCCCGTAGAGGACACTCTGAACTATCTACGCATGAAAATAAACTAACAGATTTATGTTTGAACTATTATCTGCCCTGTCTTTCCAAAGATTCTCTAGAACATTTGACCTTTACTTGCCAAAACATGCATCAAATTCTTAATTTCGGGTTTATCCAACTTAGATCATACTTTTATCCTGTCTATTAAGAAAAGTTACAACAAACTTGACTCAGCGAGCAGACCAAGATCTATGGTGCAGAGTCAACTAAACAGTCTAACGAAGAACTAAGACAAATACATATATAGATTCTACTTAGTTCATGTAACAAGAGAAATTCTACAATTCAGATTGAAATATAGGATACAGAAAGAACATAAAAAAATAAATGAGGTATTTATTAGAAAATCTCATACGTTTTCACAACTATCCTTTAGAAATTTCAGATACCTAAAATCTGCTTTTCCACCTCCCTAGTTCATGGAGAACTGATGTATATACAAATGACATGACATACACATCATTCTCAATGAACCTACCTCAAAAGAAATGAATTTTAAAAACATTGTGTAAAACATGTTTTAATTCATCCATATACGTTGTTGACGGTAATACATATATTAAAAATGTTGCCATTTGAGGAATAAATGAAATAAAATATCCGATTATAATTAAATAATTTTGCCATGATTTAATTTCAGTTATACATGTAAAGAGAAAAGCAAATATTAATGTAGGTAATGTTAATAAAACTAATACGATTGGACTTATAATTAAATGCTTATAAGCATTAATTTGCTGATGTAAGGTGCTAATATAATTACTATGGATTGCTATGGATTTTATTTTTGATGAATGAACTATTATAAATGCTGATGACAAATTGATTGTAAACGGTGTAACAAGATGCATGATGTTTATTATTGAATTGTACATTTCTAAATATTTATTTCGAAAAGTAATTACACACCAAGTGCGACCATTTATACGTGGATCATTTATTATATGATAGTTAAATAGACTGTGTATCGTTGTTATAAAGCTGAATGTAACAATAAGTGGAATAATAATTTTAGCTGCAGTTTTGCTTGATTTCTTCTTAAATTTTAATCCAGATAGTACCATAGAAGTACGTTCAATTGAAACAAATGCATTTATCCAATGCGTTATTGTTGGTAGAAATTTTAACAAAAATTCCATTACAGTACAATTCATACGTGCTGTAGATAAATTATTCATTTGTGTTAACAAGAGATAAAGAAATTTTATACCAAACACAACCAAACTCAGTTGACCAATTATGGATGTTATTAATAAATAGATACCACATCCAACTTCACCACATTTTGGTTGATAAAATGTTATTATTGAAAGAGTATTTAATATAAATCCAGTTATAATCATTAGAATGGGAAAAATTAAGTATAACTTGATGATCAGTGATTGTTGGTTCAATGGTGTATACATCTTTATTTCTTGACCGATGGATGCATCTAAGGATATTGAATATTGACTAGTCGTAAACTGGCATAATGAACCATAATAACAACCTTAAATTAAGTACAATTTTGCTTGATAAAGTTAAGTTCTAGAGACTGTTCAAAGAACCTTTTCCTTTCCAAGAGTTGTTTTTACTTTGTTTTGCATCAATCTTATTGAGAAAAAAGTCTTCTGAGTGAGACAATCCTGGTTGATTGTCTCACCAGATGAAACTTGTACCAGATGAAAACGGAAGAAGGCATACTGCTTTAAAAGAATGGTGGCCACTTGAGTTTAGGACGTCAAACTTTCTAATTTTAGTTTCGTAGCCAGCCTGGTAAACGTTATATCTCAATGTGACCTTTTATGTTGTAAGTAAGATTAAATCATAGCAGCGTCACATTCATAGCGTAGCTAAAATCCGCTCAAATTCTGACAGAAATATTCTCTTATGTACCTTCTATTACCACTCGTAGCGAAAATTAGCGTAAACGCTCCTGAACCGTAAGTCACGTTTTTCAGCTATCTTTTATTTTTCTCAGCTCAGGAGCACTTTTATTCAAAAATAAGGTCATATTTGGAATTAGGCATGTACCAATACAATATACTGGGTCCCAATAATATTGGTTATCCAATCTATTTGGACCAATAATTATTGGTCATCCAATATATTGGGTTTCACATCATTATTAGAATAGGTAATATTTTAGAAAAGCAGCCATAATTGATTAACTATATATTCTTTATTGAATAATAAACTCAACGTTTCGGGCTCGTCTTAGAGCCATTTTCAACAGCAAAGTA